CACCCCTGCGCCCCACCCCCGCCCCGGGAAGGCGGCCGTTCCAGCTGCTGAGCGGCGAGCCACCGCCGGGCCTGGCGCCTTTCCTGCGGGTCCGGCCCCCCACTGGGGAGCCCCAACGGCCCGGGAAAACTCCACTCCCCGCTTTCCATCAGGAAGGCCGCTCGGGTTAGGCTCGGAGCCAGTCAGTCGGGCCAGAGCCCGGCCGTTTACCGTGTGGGGCCGAGTGGCCCCTGGACGCCTGGAATCCCAAACCTCCCCGGGAGGGAGAGGCCGTGGCTGCCCCGTGGCAGTCGGGACCCTTCCCTTTTCCTGCCCCAGGCCATTGGGAGTGCACCCGGCTTACCGGACCCCGCCCTGCGTGCTGACCAGGTCAAGGCCAATAGATCCCAGAGCACCACGAAGGTCACCAGTGTGCCCCGCCCTGGAGGACAGCGACCTCTCCGCCCCTTCAAATGCCCCGCCCCCTGTCCCTGTCGCTTCCCACCCGCCGCGGCCACCACCACCGGCGCACACACACTGGCTAGAGCTGCCCTTGGTGTCAGTGGCCTGGCTCCCAAGAACGCTCCCTCCGGCTGTCGAGTGGCCTCGGTACCTGTCAATCATTGAGTCCCAGAGCCAGCGCCCCTGACCATGGGGCCAGGGAAGACCATGGTGGCCCTGCCTGGGTTCCCTGCGACCACCCTGCTGCTGGTTTTGTTCCTGGGGCTGAACACCTTCGGTGAGTTAAACCCAGAGCCAGGAGGGGATTTGAGATAGGATATGGGGCGACTCCTGAGAGAGCTGTTTTGGGGCCTGATGCGAAACTGGGTGGGACCCACTGCTGGCCTCTGACTCTCATTCCACCCCCCCCACCACACACACACACACACTCCTCTCTGCACCCAGGACATCACTGCTGGTACTGACTATCCCAGCTGTTTGAGGACAGCTCCCACTTCCAGTTTGGGGTGTGTGTGGCGGCAGAGAGGGTTAGGGCATCTCCTGGGTAGACCTCTGGTCCACCACCACTCCCTACCACCTCCCTGCAGAGCCAGAGCCGGATGAGCTGAGCCGCTAGATGAGACACTGGCTAAAGAGCTTAAGGACTTAATTCCAGCTCCTCTCCTGCCCCCACCCCACACAAGCTAATGCACAAGAGCCCTGGGGGAATTCCCTGGTCTGGGGCTTGACACCTGAACTTCACTTCAGTCCCCCAGCCCAGATCCTCCCTCTGGCCCCCTTCTCCTGCTTCGTGCCCTGGGAATCAAGGAAGGTGTCCCAAAAGCATGTCTGTGAGGTCGTTTGGGATACAGGAAATGGGGGAGGGGTTTGAATGACGAGAGGAGCATAATTGGGACCCGCTCCCCAGAGGTCCACCACCCTCCTTGGTTCCAGGGGCCAGAAGGACATAGGAAATAGAGGAGAGGGTCTCAAAGAGTCAGAAGAAGAATGTTGAAAGCGCCCAGGGGTGCCCAGGAGCTCCAAGTGGCCCAACTGGGGAGAAAAGAACCCAGCAGGATCTAAGTCTGCCCCACTGGTGCCTCCCAGACCTCGCCATTCCTCTTTAGGGATCCCCAGTGGGGTGGAGGGCGGGTTAGGCGTCACCAGGGCAAGTAAGGCTAGGAAAGATGTAAAGTGAAATTCAGCAACGGTGGGGACTAAGGTGGGGATCACCAAACCCTCACCTGTGTCCCTTGTGCTGCAAGGATGTTAGAGCATGAAGTATTAGGGCCCCCAGACAAAGTGGGGCTCAAGAGCAGCTCACCAGCCACCAAAGCCTGGACAGCTTCCTGCCCCTTTAGGCTCTGTACCTGTTCCAGGGTATCTCTACTTCTCAGCCCCCCCAACTTCAACCTCAGCACCTCTTTTCCTTCTGCACTCTGCCCCCCAACTTCCCCATACTCCCTGCTGGGGGGGGGGGT